CGATCGGAGAGGCCTGTGATTTATATACTAATATATATAATATAATATAATAATATAGTATATGTATAATATAGAACTAATTTTTCCTTAATTAGTGTTTTTGTTCTGATTTCGTTTTGTTCCGTATTGTACCCAATGCGAGCGGCAGTGGCGCCTCTTGTGGAGGAAAACAGAAGCTTAATTCGATGTTCGTACAGCGCCAATTGGACTCGTGGCAAAACGCTCAAACTGTTAGCCAAAATCGACTGTCGGTAATTTGGCTAACAGTTTGAGCGTTTTGCCACGAGTCCAATTGGCGCTGAACGGACATCGAACGAAGCTTCGAGGTATCGCCGCAAAGAGCGCCACCTGTCATAAATGGCGCTATTTTTAAATGTTCAGGTTTCTATTCTTTTATCTTGAGTTCCATTAGTTATATGTAATAACAAATTATATAGTAAAATCGCTAATAAAAGAAATCATTATCAATATCAGGTACCGAGAAATAAATAAGGTAATTGCTGAAGAAGATCTCGGAGATCTTGGATCTGTGGAACATATTTGAATCGTTGAAGTTTATTATCATCGTTCGAGGCACAGAAATTAATGTTTAAGTAACGAAACGTTGAAGTACGCTTTGCAATAAAAGTTCAAATCGAAAACTGCCGCCATTCAATCATAATAAAACGTGATTTCGCTATCGCACACATGTGGTGTTAATGTAGCCGACTTTGAATACGATTGGTGTGCGGTTTAGTTTGTTTCTATAACAGTAGGAGTAGGAAACACATATGGGGAGGTATATTTTAACCGTGCAATTGCTTTCAGGCTTTCAGCACAATTTGGTCGAGAAATTGTTGCATCAGAAAGACGTTATTTTTCGTGTTCCTTCTTTTATTAATTTCTTTGTTGTGTTCACTTAAAGACGCAGTATCGAGCGATCGAATATGGATCAAAGTTTATTGAATCAAATCCAGTATTTGACATGTAAGTTTTAAATTCCGAACGGTCATTTTAATGTTATACACAATGAAATACAAATCCTCTCACATGTTCTAAATGTGTCGTACAGGATAGTTATAGAACTAAATGTTTATGAAATTTATTACGGTGAACTTGCTAAAATATAATACATACGAAAATTAAGAACGTTACAGCTTTAAGCACAAGGTACACTGATATTTATCTTTGCAGTGATTTATATATTTTAATTGTACAATGTACATGGGACAAAATAATTTGTTTATGGTAATAATGTAGTAAACTGATTATTTTCAATGAATAATACACAAGCATCGATATTTTTATTATTCTAAACAATTTTCTTATTTAAAATAATATTATGACGAAATATATACTGATTATTTGTTTCTCATTTAGTTGCTTCACACATTTTATTAAAACATATTTCTATGAAATAATTGCATTTGTTGATAAATGAAATACTATATTTATATGTTTTTTAGGATTATTTATATGAGGAAAAAGTATTCCAAACAAAAGTTACATAGTGCTAAGGAAGCTCGCAATAAAAGATGCGACACCAAGTGTCAAGAAATTGCGTTCTAATTACTTCTTTCGCTTAGATTCAAATTTTGCAGTAAAATAATGTTGTCTATTTCAGGTTTAATAAAACATCATAAGCAGGAATCATTAGATAAATCTTACAACACAAATGAAAGTCTTCCGAATCAAAACTCAGGTCTTGCAAACTCTTTTAAGTGTACAAATTTACTTCAGAAATGTGAGCCGCCTTCTAAAACTTCCGCTAGTTCTTCGTATAATGAAGTGACAACTACTAATATATACATTAATCCGAACTTTAAACCACAAAAGTCTTCTATACATATCAATCCAAGGTTACAGGAAAAGTCTTCGGTACATGTCAATCCAAGATTACAGGAAAAATCTTTAATACATGTTAATCCAAGATTACAGAGAAAGTCTTTAATACATGTCAATCCAAGATTACAAGAAAAGTCTTTAGTACATGTCAACCCAAAAATGATGAGAACTGTTATTAATTCTAATGAAAATGTGGAAAATAATTCCATAAAATTAACATCAAATATTAAAGATAACTTTTTGCAGAAGCAAAATTCTATAAAGAAATCAGTGTATGTAAATCCAAAATTAATTAAAAAATTATCTTCCTCGATACATGCTAAACCAGTTGAACAGAAAGAAACAGTAACACAGAGTATTAGCTATCCTGCCTGTTCGAGATTAAAATTTGTTAAAAATGTAAATTCTGTGAAACCTATTATTAATCCTAAAAAAAATAATTCTAATATTGTACTTCTGTCTAAAAGAAAACTTATACGCGTAAAACGAAATTCAAAAAAGTCTTTAAATACATTTCAAACGGAAATTCAAAAATATAGAAGATCTTTAAATTTGTTAAAGAATACTAAAACGCCGTCACAGAAAGTTCTAAAAACAAAAACAATAAGTACTTCACCACAATCAATTAGGACAGATATAGATTCTACAAAATCTCCAATTATGAAGCCACAATCAATTAGCAAAGATATAAATTCTATAAAATCTCCATTTATAAAACCTAAAATAAATAAGTATAGAATAGATAGAACTATACCAAAAAATATTGGTATCAAAGATCATTCAAACCAAACTCGGAAAATAGTCACGTATGTACATTATCTGATGAGTATAATGTGACAGTATTAAATTGTAGGCTACAAATAACAGTTTAATAATTGTAGGAATAAAAAAATGGAATTAATTACAATTGGAGGAATCGTCTACAAGTCTTCTAAAAATCAATTAGTACGTAAAAGCTATGGAATAAAAAGTAAGCAATAATTTATTGATATTATTTACTGCATAAAGATATACGAGTGTATACAAATTTTTTATTTTATTACAGAAAAACAAACAAATATAAAAAATGATAAATTTATTGTGGCAACAAATGGAAAAAAATTATGTAGGATAAGGCCTTTAAAAGAATTATTAGGAAATTCAAAACTGAAAGTACTTCATAAAACTGCTGGAACAAAACTTTTGTCCAATTTGTCTCAGAAGAATAGCTATAAAACTAATGTTAGGTATACAACACTTTATGTACAAGGTGACCCTGAAAAATACGTACACTCACAAACTAAGCCTCAAATGAAACAAAGTTATTTTTTTCATATTTTTTCATGAGAAATCATGCCCACAAACACGCGTTTCAGGGACATCCTATATATTACTCTAAAATACATACTATAAAAGTGACATTAACACGAAAATACATTTTTAATTATAGCAATAAAGTTAAACAGAGAAGCATACAAATATTACGTAACAAAATGCAGAAAAACAATCAACCATGTTTAATATTCCAACGATTTGGATATTGTTCTAATCATGAAAAAGGAACTTGTCTAAAACGCCATGATGAAAAACAAATTTCTCTTTGTAAAAAGTAAATTTACTGCGTGTTTATAGCATTATACAGAAACTGTACTTAACACTCAATTGTAAAATATTTTCAGATTTCTCCAAGGCAATTGTTTACTAGATAAATGTCCATTGTCTCATAATGTAGGTCCTGAAAAAATGCCGACTTGTAAATATTTTTTAGAAGGTTGTTGTACAAGGGATGGATGTCCTTATCGTCATATTAAAGTTTCTTCTAATACCCCGATCTGCAGAGAATTTTTGCAAGGATATTGTGCTAAAGGTCAAGAGGTAATATCAGTATTTTTTTGTATTATTATTTATAAAAACTGCGTCTGACACAATAGTAAAATATAACAATAAATTTAAGATCAATGAAAGTTGTTCCTTTTACAGTGCAAACAACGTCATGAAAATCTATGTCCAGAATTTGAGAAAATGGAGAAGTGCAATAAAGGTAAGCATTGTCCTTACCCTCATAAATCACAAACAACTTTAACAAAACAAAATCATATAAAACGAAAGTACAATTTGCGTAATGAACAAATAACGCGTCCGAATTTGAACGATAATATGTCTTCTTCTAATAATGAAAACAGACTCAGATACTATGAACAAACAGATACTGTTGCTGATAAAAATTTTAATAAAAAAAGAGATGGTCTTATGAAAAAGTTAAAACTTATGAAAGTTACAGCTCAGTCTGATACTGTAATAGAAATACATGATGATATTGTAAATTCAGACTCAAATCTTGAGAATTCCACAACGGAAGATATTTCCGATGTTAAAGTAATAAAACGGCCACCGATCGGCATTCTACCTGCCTATATACCTATTGGTTGATATAGACGATAACGCTATGCGTAACAATTTTTTGATATTTTTTAAATCTTTCTGTGTAAATACAATTACTTTGTTTACTTCTATTTACATATCACGTTTAGAATTTTCATTATGAGTAAAATTTATATTTCGTAGTTGACGCAAGATTGAATTTTGTACCATACTGTATCTAGGTATATACAAAAATCAAGGACTTATATTTTATGACATGTATATACTTATGTAAATGAAAAAATGTGTATACTTGCTAAAATGAAAGTATTTTATCTTTATATAAAGTGTTATTTTTTTTATGAATTTAAACCCAATGTCACCTTCATTCCCATTCCAAATTTCTGTAAAACTTTGACACTATAAAATATTATGTCTACAGTGTAATACAAAATAGAAATTTTATCATTCATTTATTCATCATAAATACTATATTTTCCCACAACACGTACATATAATATTACAAAATTATGCATACATGTCGCATCATCCATATATAAGTTTCCAATTAGAAGGATGATTATATGCCAATAATATTGGGCAATGTAATAGTAAAGATATTGTATTTTCATTAACAGTATTTGATACTTCGAGCCATTGTGTAAGCCATTTTTGCATACTTTCTGTTGACATAGTTTCAGGATTAACACCTCTAAAGATAAGTGCCTAAAAGAATAGATAATTTATATACAATGTGATCAAAGTATGTGCTATAAACATTTCATAGGGTGACTTTATAATGCAAAGTAAGACGAAAGTAAGAATAATAAAATTGTGATTTGACCTTTTATAAGTATCACGAGATGAAAACCATGCGAAAGACAGAGATGTAAATAATGCACAATCGTTAATAAATTTCAATTGTTATTAATATGAAAACAAAACTGAAATCGTTGTATTGTTATTCTTGATCTCTATTTCATTATGTAATGATTCTAGTACAATGTATAAAACTATAGTTAAGTATATGTTATAAGTAAAAAATATATTAGAAATGTAAAGCATAATTTTAGTGTGCATACCCAACGTATTGCATCTACTGATAATTTTGTGACACCTCCTTCTCTTTGTATGGTATCATCCATTTGTTTTATGAACATGCCTCTTTCAATTAATTTTTTTTTTTTAAAAAGTCTCCAAGTAGATATGTCATGTATGATAAGCAATTCTTTCTAAAATATGATTCAGAATTGTTACATTACTCATAATATTATCAGATCATTATTAATATGAACATATTGTTCCAAAAGTCTGGATAGTATTAATTAAATGTATATCTTCAACATACTATATGCTTGCTTTTAAGATTCTTTAATGCATATGGTCGACCAGCAAATAATTCAGTACAGGCAATAATATTTCGCACTGATGGATGTGTGCCACTGCCAAGACATGCAATGACATCATTCCATTTTATTCGCAATGATTTATCTTTAATAGTGCGTAATTCTGTCTGCATGCACCTAAATAATGGCCTGTTATGTTTTAGTCGCTTTTTCTGATCTAGCATCGTAAAATTAAGTTTTTGTTCTGCACTCCAGTAATGGGAAGTGAGAAGATGTCTTGGAAAATAATATATCAGAGGAAATATGACATAATTTGTAAAAGGCACAGCTGCAACTAGTAAAACAGGACACATCTTTTGTAAGTCGTTGCCCATTGTGTGTGTTAATTTTAGCTCTTCTGTTGTTAAACTTTTACTTGATTTATGTATCAAAGTGATATATGTTTTAAATTCTCTTATAAATTCTGTGGTGCCTACACGAAACATACGATACACCTTCATTGTTTCAGGAAAGTTCTTCTCTAATATGTGATCAAAATTTTTAATATAATCTATGTATCTATTAAACCAATATGTTCTTATATTGGAAATTCGGTTTTTCTCTTTGCCTTTCCATTTCACTTCATTATGACATCTACGTATACAAAATAACGTACACTGATTTTGATAAATAAATCTTTGGTAGAATAATTTGTACATTTTCACGTCTTTGTTTTTATCACATAAAACGTGGTTATGTTCTCTTATTATTTAATTCTCCTTTAATTTATAGTAGATTAAACACATTTATAAAACAATTATAAACTACTTTATAGTATGCATTATCACTATCATTCTTCTTTAAGGTTAATAAACAAGATCACAGCAAAGTATAACATATATACATTAAAGTATTCCTGAAAGGAATTTTGTTTGTAATTCGTCCAATTTTAAATGGTAAATACGATAATCCATAATTCTTCGAGTATTGTTGATATATGTAAATTACTAATAGATTTGGTTCCGAAATTTTTATTAGGAATATGGTTGCACGTTTTGGTAGGAATTTTTTATATGATTCAATAAAAGTTTTATCATATGATTTACACAGTAGATATTTTCGTGGAAAAATTTCTGTTCGTTTCCGTTTCCATAGAGCGTAGAAGTGCTTTGTCCACAAAATGCGCGAATATTTTTAAAAGATAGAACTATGGACATGTTTCAAATTCTTACCACTTGTATTAACTGGTACTAACCAGTCCTAATTCGATCGAGAAACAAAACTAATTTATCGTCAATTTTTCTGCAAAGGTTTCTTCTACATTACCTACAATTTTCTAATTTAATAATGTAATCAAAGTAGGAAAAAATAGCGTATGTAAATCGGAACCTCATAACAAGATGAATGTTTTTTTATAAAAAATCGCAAAAAAATGTTGCAATATTTATCTCATTGTTTTGCGCCAAAAACTATCAGCTTTTTCAAATACATAATATGAATATTTGTCTAAAAGAATAAGAATAGAATAGAAATAAGTTACATTCCGATCAGTTTTGAATAGAAAAATAATGAATTAATGTTGTATCCAATTTATTGTACAATGTATACAATACACTTGTATATGCTGTATGATCGTAAAAGTACATAAAATTTCATCATTCCTTTTAATTTGGAAGAATGAATGTACATACAAGGG